TATGAAAACCACAAAGGGCATCAACCTGCAGTTGTCTTTCCACCCCCCAACCTCCCAAATGATTCCGCAGTGTGAAGCAGAAGGTAGATCGGTGTAGCGGCCGTGGAACAAAGCTCCAAACATTTGGTGGCGAAGATTCATCTTGTCTTCGCTCGAACTGATCTCCTTGGGCCTGAATGAATTGACCTGAACTGCCGGGGTCACTGTATACCTATACGGCACCGTTTGCTGCAGGCCAGCACCATCCACCTTCAGGGCAAGGCTGGAGAAGTTGCTTTCTAATGGTCGTGGTTAGTTGAGGCATACCAATGTTGAGACATGTTAAGACAAAACCCACACCTCAACTTTCGCCGCCAAATTGTGGTCAACAACTCGTACTTCCATAACACCCCGATCCCCAGCCACTTTGCAAACCACGTCAGGGATGGTGGTGATGGTCTTTGTATCTGCCATTGCGATCAAAGCACTGTCCTTGGAAATGCGCCACGAGAGTGAAGATGCCAAAACATCACCATCGCCTGTCACAGTTCGAACATGCGACGGATTGGAACTTTGATCACTTCCCAAATCTAAAAAACACTTGGGTTTTTGTGGGCTATACCTGGCCCTTTCCAAACCGACAACACTTGAGCTTTTGTGGGCTATATACCTGGCCTGAGGGAACTTCAGTGTAAGACCCTGTGTTGAACCCAAAGAGCTCCGTTGCAGAGAGGGTGCAATCCTTGTCATCCCGGTTGATGAGCCAAATGTTGTTGGTCCGGGTTGCAACCACAAAGAGGTTGGGCTGATTCGGAAGGCGGGCCATGCCAAGAAGCCTGGGCAAGGGTGACGCTTGGACAGTTTCCTAGACACTTGGACAAATGAAGACATATTCACACCTTCCCAAAGGATCAACTTCTTTCCGAGTCCAAGTGTCGGGTTCAATGGCTCGAAGTCGACAGCGGGCATCGTTTCCAAAGAAGTGATTTGCCGGCGGAAGTTCCATGGCCCGTCAGCCCGCCAATCAGGTTTGGCAAGAGTTCTTGGAGGCAGGTCAGCGGAGCTGGCTGTCGACGCGGTCGTCGATGTTGGCGCAGTCGTCGATGTGTGCCAACTCTTCAGGGATGTTGTGAACTTAGTGTCCACGGTGATCTCTTCCATGCACTTCTTCACGAACTCCGGTTGACCTGCAAGCTTCTGCTGCACCATCTCTGGAATCCTGAGTTGGACATGGATGAGAGGGCATAACGGCAAAAAAATCAAACATTGGTATTCTATAGATTTTGGTGCCCACACAAGCGCAGGAATACCAAACATTCGATGGAAAGACATTCACCAGGGATCTTCAACTCTCCATCCACGACAGCGAGAGATTCGAGGGTGGGCAAGGGCTCACCAAAAAACAGCTCGGCCGCGCGATTTAGACCCTGCTTGGTCTGAAACATCCCAGTGCTCGCTCATGACCAGGCCCGTCACTGTTTCCTGGAAGCTTTTGTGGTCAGCCGCTTGGTCAGAATGGTAGATGGCTGCAAACCTGACATCAGGGTGGTTGTCCATCAACTCATCATCATTGAGGAGCCGCTTTTGCAGGTTCCAGCATGCTTTGCTCCATTCTCCAAACCTGACAATCTTTCCCAAGCACTTTTGATTTGAAAGCGGAACAACAAGTTCAAATCTGCTAACAGTTTGATAGGGTTCACAGTTTTTTTGCAAAAGAAGGTTTGCCCACTTCCGCCTGCTTGGCAAAAGGTCCACGACCAGTACGGGCTGCTTTGGCGCGGTCAGCACGCCTTCGAGAAGGCCGGCTATGATTTGGGTCGTGGCCTTGATGCCCCTTTGCTGGACCTCCAGTGGTTGGCAAAAGCATTTGGATCATATGACGAGGGGAGCAACAAACAGTTGAATTGTGAACAATGTAGCATGTTACATGTGAACCATTGCTTTCACAAAAAGGGACCCGCCAGTGTGGAGCCAAAGGATGATCCACATCTGGATTCACAAGATCTTGGACTCTGCTACGCGGGATGTTGTTCAAAGAGCCCAGTAGTGCACGACTCTTCTGCCACGTAGGGCTTGTTCCACACATTGCAGCAACGCCTGCAATATTAGTTTCAAAGATGTTTCAAGAAAATGTTGAGCAGAAGGTGTCCATTATCATGAAAATACATTCCTTTCATGTCATGGCTCAACGCAAACGAAGGACATTGTTGCGATGTTCTCCGTCGATCTCCACCATGCTCTGGTGGGGCATAGTTCAAGCTGATCTCGTGAGAGTTCATCACACTTAGAGTAAGCACTGTCGCGATTGGTATTCACGACCATTATTGTAACTTTTGATTCACTGTTTTCCACTTCCGCGGCCTTCCAGCAATTTGCTGCCAAAGTACGCAAACAGCTTGTCCTCTAACAGCCGGCGGTTCTTCATGACAGTTGCCATGGAGGTCGAAGAGTGCACTTGAGGGAGACACGCAAAGCACATCGTGTTGCAATTCCCTGAACTGACCGCGTGGGCTACAGAAATGGCCTCGTCGATCAGCAGGTGTCCTCAATGTAGTCCAAGAATGCGCTTATTCGATTTTGGGGCTCATGTTCAAAAGGAACTTCTTCATGATGCATGTTTTTTTTGCGCAATAACTTCCAAAGCACGGGAGGGCCACAAGCTGGTGTCTAGCACGATGATTGTGAGCCTAATGTCAATCAATGGTCTTCACGCAGGGCTCAGAGACCACAAACTCTTTGTTGAGTCTAGGCAATTGCAGCTCAGACGCGTGTCAGGCCCCATGTCCGACTGCATCGAGACAATCGTCGAGTGCCCCAGATTCAGGGTGCTCAAGCACAGGAGCTTGTGGCGAGCATCCATGAACTCGCTGCACCATTTCTTGCCTCGCATGTAGCGGTCCTCCATGTACTTGGCATCAAGCAACCCCTGAAACAGCAAATATCAGCAAATTATTCAGATGTGGGCCACCCACAAACATTTGTTGATTTTGGCACCCCGCCTGTTGACTGGCAAAGACATCCCAGCGACCCAACCAGCTCCGCAGTTTCATCATGTCAGCGTTGATGGAAAGCTTCAGCTGTTCCATGGTGGTGTTCATGAGCTGTTGGGACAACCTCACTCAGGTGGTTTGACATAGAAGTCACAGACGCTCAAACATGTTGTTCCCTCCCTGTTCTTACTGAAACATGTTTCCACTGAAAGGCTGACTTCCCACTCTGACCAATTGCTGCCAAAGGTCTCTGCAGCGCGATTGCGGGTTTCCTGCTCAGCCTGGTGGCCAGGCAACAGGGCTCGAAGGCGGCGTTCGCATACTCATGTTTTTTATGTTTCTTCCGACGCTGGTTAAAAACACCTCAGGAAACAAAAGGCCTCCTGGTTGTATTTTGTCAGGTGGTGGCTGAAGATGCTGATTTTGTTGAGGTCAGGTGGCGGAACGCTATTCTCCAGCATCGAACTGATGTCTGCGTCCCCGTGGCGAAGCTCAAACCTTGGGCAACAACATAGCAACCGATCTTACTCTCTTTGGTCTTGCATGGGTATGCACAAGCACTGACAGCGGACCAAAAAAACGATTTGTGAATGTCCACGAGTGCTTTGTCAGCGAACTCTTTCGGGACAGCTTTGAGAAACAGGTCCAGGCATGCCAAATACCCACCGCAGTTCCTCTGAAGTGCTTCCTTGGGCGCATTGCGATGACCCTGGAGGATAGGGCACCAACAAAATACTACAATCATCCCCAATCAATTTGGATCAAAGTTTCGAGGTCTTTCACATGCCACGGTCGACGCTGCTTTTGTGGTGATGCTAGCCAATCCCTTTCCATTCGATTGATTAGGGTCTGGAGAAGATTCTCACTGTTTGTGAGTTCCTGTTTCCAATTCCCAAATGGACCGGTCGCCGTGGAGTGCTTGTCGCTCAGAAGGCCAACAGCTATGGCCTCGTGCGTCAAGAAGCGCGGCATGCCATACTGCCTGGCGAAGCAGTGGAAACCATTGCACCCTGGAAACCATTGGAAGAGATAGAAACACCAGTGGAAACCATTGCACCCCGCCTCACCATTGCCGTCAGCGCTTCCTTCACCGACTTCGGTATCTTGTGCAGGAGGGCAACTGCTGCTTGACTCTCTTGTTTTCCAAGAGAGTACACGGACGCAACTTGGGCCGTGCTTTCGTAGTTCTGACGGGTTACAGTGATGACGGTTCAGCAATAAAATCGAATGACAATAACAATTGAATGACTCAAATTAATTCCTTCTGGTTTGATTGTCATCTTTTCTTTAAGAAGTGCCTCCAGCGAAATGATGGCGTTCTGCTCTGACATTCCAGATCTAATCAATAGCTCCAGTTGCCAAACAATGTTGAAGGCGTTGGGCCTCCGGCGGATCCCCACCGTTGAACATGTCACGCCTGGCGCAGAAGAGGTTAGGGACAAAGGACTCCAAGAGGGTTCAATCAGCACTAATACCCACCACATTCTCAGTCCCTCACCCCGATTCGTGTTGACCACACGGCAGATGTCAGGTTCGACGCTGTTTGCATAGATAGTTCTGAAGCTCCTTTGCAATCAATACCAAATGGAATCTAGTTGTTCCATATTGTTCCACTCAAACATACTCAAACCCATTGTTGGTCTCCTCTTCACATGGTCCGGCATGGCCTCGACAGCTGTGCAAGACAATAATATAATCTAGATCGATCTTCAGCAATGTCCTTCGATGAGGACATATGATGACCATCGAAATCTTCCTCAAGCAGGCATCGCCTCTATCAGCGCTGGGGTGGTAAAGCCGCAGAAGCATACCCCTAGTAATGCCAGGCAACGGTTCCAGCCCTTGACTGCAAAGGCCCTTTGCGGGCCCACCAGGTTCACGCTGGCATCCATGCCCAAGTCCTCACACAACCTGAAATGTGTTGCTGGTTCCTGGAGCCAGGCAGGTTGAACGGTTGTCATGGTCAGTTTTTTCTACTCCTGGAACGTTGGCGTCCGACTGGAACCCATTCAACAACACCAGGAGCGCGAGGTTGTGCTGTACTTCCTGGGGAGGAAAATTGGTTGATAACTATAGGATAACCGTTCTCAGCAACTGACTAGGACCCGAACCCCATCTGCTGTTCCCCGGAGGCCATAGTCCGCCCGATGTGGAAGCATCCAAGGGCGCAATTGCCAGCAATTTGAAGAAGTCATGTCCACCTCTCTCAAATAGGACCTCGAACCCAACGAAATTGCAACATATGGAAACTATTCATTTGTATTCATTTGTATTTTTTCAATACGGGCCCATCACACACCATCTTCTGCGGGGAATGTGTGCTCCAACCAAGTGTAGAAGCCAACTGCTGTCTCCTCCAATAAGACAGCACAAAACCACCCATGACACCCATGACAAGACTCGCAACCTGCCTCAGAAGCCAGGTTCTCGCACAGAAAGACATCCAAAGTCTTGTTGCGCCGCTCCAAGTTCTCGGTCCTTGCACAAAACATGTTGCTCATAATGTGTGGCTTGTTCAGACATGTTTGAAACACAACTTCCTAGGTTGCATCACAGAAACGCCCATTCTTCATAGATCTTCAGATGCGGAAGGGCCATTGACTCCGGTGCAATGGCACTGAGGCCTTCCCCGACCTTTTTTGGAAGTCTTGGCCTTCGGTTCACCGCCCCGGCGATCCGAGGTCCGCTTCTTTGGCGCCATGGTGTCCTGGCCAAACGCAGGGCAGCCCAAGGAAGATCTAGGTTGATGGTTGGTTTGGAAGTATTTGAACTTCAATCTATGAATGATATATTCCTTGCACAGAAGATTTTGTGAACGAGACATTCTTCACAAAATAGGCTGTCAAAATGCAAACCCATTTAGTGAATAAACACGACCACTTTATTCACGCGCCACCTGGTCCAAAGGCGATCCCTTTAGATTTCAATGCCGTGATTTTCACGGCATACCAAACTGGACAATCCCCTATGGATTTAGTGAATAAAGACGACAACATTATTCACGGAACTGGTCTGTGGTTCTATTCACAAAATTGTGTAGGAATCACTATTCACAAAATCCATCTATTTTTGACACACTCTTCACGAAACACAGGGTTTGCTGAAGATACCCCGGTGACAGTAGGCAATGTTAGGAAATAGGTACGGTATGTGTGGAATTATTCTTTCAAATCCACGACTCTAGCAAACAGCCTCCTGTGTCCAGTGCTAGGTGAGCAGTGCTAGGTGAGCTACCCCCCTCACCTGGAGACCTTGGAAATTGTAGAGCTAACTATACTCAAAGCCTTTTGCATAGGCACGCCTTCCACCCAAAGCTGCGACGCAGCTTGAAAAAAGAGCCTGCTCATTGATTGCAGTCCGGTAGCGGGCTGCGTCGGCAGACTCAGGTCTCTTCCTACCCAGTCGCAAAGAATTGGCCACCTTAATTCCGAAAGGAGCTCCCAGTTTGTGATTCCAGTCAGTTCACTCAACCCTGACTTAAAAGAAAAAACTTGGTCACTTACCGCTTCTAGATCTTCTCCAACACCCACCGCCGGTGGCCCGACTGCCAGGCCAACTTGCGGCCCAGCTTGGGGCAAAGCCCTCAGACGTGCGAGCGACGCAACAAAACTTACTGTAAGGGTCCAGAGGTCCAGAGACAATGGGGCCCGAACCAACTCACATCCAAGTAAGGGCTATGGCGCGGTCGACCGTTGGAGATGTCTTCCAAAAGCTGCGCAGCTTCATGCATGTCGTAAGGATGTTCACCTTGCAAAAAAGAAGTACATCCATTTCGGGGGCGTTTCAACCAATGAAATCTACGGTGCATTGGTGTCAATCGACCTGTTTGTCGCACGATGCTGAGGACCGATCGCAGCATCTTCGCATACCTCCTGAAATCCTTGTTCTCTTTGCTGTCGGGGTGCTCGGGGGAGTCGATGAAGGCTGCCAAAAAAGAACACGCACCTTCTATACACATTCTTTATTGGAAGATGTTTTGGTGGGTGTTGGTATGAGCCTGGCGGCGCGCTGCCCATCGACTGGCAAATGACACTCCAAGGGAGGTACAGCGTGGGTTTGTTGTAGGCGAGGTCACTCATAAACTGCTTGGTCCTTGACACAAGCTGGACATACCTGGACTATTTCTAGAATCTGGCGAAGCGCAGACGAATTTGCTGGGACCCGGACTCCAGAATGACATCGCGATCATCCGGGCGATATGGAACAGTGCTCCAGAACTTGGAGTCCAAGTCTTCTCGGTTGAATCCTGCCAGTGTTACGTTTCCGAATTCTGCTACAGGGCTTCAATCCTAGGGAGTCCTGTGTCAAGGAACCGACGCAATCTGAAAGCATGGGGTGCACCAGGGCCACCAATGCCAAAGATGTGAGAATGCCCATAGTGGTCCGACAGCCAGTTCTTCCTAGACAAGAATGTGTTCATGGTTTTGGAGAACAACACGAATACAGGAAGGAAATGTGGTGCTCTGGACAGGTCTATGTGGTGCTCTTAGGGAAACCACATAAAACCACCAGTTGAACCACTCTCAACGCAGGCTTGGGATGTCCACATGTGCGGCGCCGGCTGGTTTGAACACTGTGGAACATGCACGCTCAAAGCCCAACGATTGCAGGGAGAAACGAGTTACCTAGTCGAAGATAAGCAGCCAATCACGAAATTGTGTAACGTGCTGTACATATCGTGCACGTTCATGTGGTCTGCGACGGGTGTCCGCAAAGAAGGATTCAATGGACCGCCTGAAGCACTCTGGCGTGGCAAGCTCTGGGTTGCTCTGTAAGTGAGTCCGGATCATGGAAAACATCATATCAATGTCCTCATGACTATGTCCAGAGGACAAGTAGCATAGCTCAGCCCCTTGCAACTTGGATTGTCCAACCCATGATGCTATGTTCCAAACCATGCAATTGTTCTTGGTCTCCTTGCTGCAATTGTCAGCTTGCAAATGCAGGAACACACCCTGTAGGTTCACAGAACGACTCAGGTATGTTAAGGCACTGGAAACAAGCTTGCAGCTTCTTGAGGAATTGGTTGCAAGGTTGTGTGGCGACAACCATGTGTGCACTGAATGGCCGTGTATGATCATACTTGTATTCGTCAGGCGAGGTCGAACAAAGTTCGCGAAGTCCTTGGCCGCCATCTTCGATGATCGCGGCCAGGCATGTTTGGCACTATCCATGCCGTCGATCACAGCAGTGACGATAAAGACAGGAGGCGAAAGCGATTGTACGCGGGATTGCGCCCTGACGCTCCAGTAAAACTGACGATCTTTGTACTGGCGCTCGAGATGCTTGTCAAACAGGGCCTGCTGAGCTCGCCTTGCGGGCGCACAATTGCCCAACTTCTTCAATATTAGTCGGTGCTTCAAGCACTGTGTGCAGCGCTTGTGATGGGTGCTGAAGCGAATACGGAGCTTATCCGCAAAAGCAGATTGCCAGACCTGATTGTTCAAAGGTTTTTTTACCAGACATATGTTGAACATCTGATTTAAAAACAACGAAATTTAAACATCTCAAACATGTACACTGAAAGTGTGCCAGGTCGCATTCGAAAACAGCTTTCTAGAGATTGTGTGGCCACCATTGCAAGACTGGCATTGCTTCCAATAGTCGCGAATCGACCCGGGTGGTAGGTGTTTTATCTGACTGCGGTTCATGTTGGGGTGGTCTAGCTTATTCAGGCCTTGGCGAGGACGCTTCCGAGAGTTCAATCCATCAGGAATCCGTTCGGCGCTCTCTAGCCAAAGTTTCATCAAGAAATCATGGCACGCCATCCATGCTGCCGATGGTGGCCTAGGGCCCTTCTTAATGTACCTTGCGTCGTATGGACAATGTTCAGCCCCTGTCCTGATTGCTGCCCTCATCTTGTGGAAACGGGTCTTACCAAAAGACAACAACTTCATGTAACCACGCCGACATAGCTGCTGACCCAACAACCGCATGCTTCGACTCCCTCGACAGCCAGGTTCGGTACCTGCTTCCGCCTTCATTGCGGCAAAGACCTCAAGGCCAGCGCGGGTCTCCAAAAGATGAATAGAGGTAGGGTCAACAGGACAAGCACGCATGCGCCAGTTAACACCATTTAGCATGAATGCGAGGGGCAGCAACCAAGTTCCCGACATAGTTATCCTGCTCCAGTTTGGTCATCGAACGGAAGAGCTTCCGAAGATTGACCCACTGGTTCCACAAGGATTGAACATTTCTGAACGGCTCAAAGCAGTCAGCTTGGCAGCCACATCTCGAAGCAATGATGTGACGAAGCTTTGAGGGGTCGATGGATGTCAATAATTTTCTAGTTTTCTTTTGTTTGAAGCCACGTGCAATTGCTCTCTGTGGCCCAGGAAACTTCGGACAAAGTCCAGGCCTTGGCTGGTGGGTGCGCTTGTCGATGGGCTTGTTGAGGCCCTCGTCGCCGCTCAAAGAGGTGACAGCGTCCAAGACCATTCATCCAGCCTCATTCACAAGACCATTGATCATTGCCAATAGGCATCAAAGGGACCCTACAGTCAATGCATCAGAGCTAACTACCAGATCTTATTAAAAGACGCTCACCGCATCTTTGTGTTTATGTTGGCACACGTGGTTTGGGCTGGGGCGGGGGCTTCACTTTCCTGTCGCACTGACAAACCCCAACTCTGAGCCACTGAACATGGGATGGTTTGAAATCACAGACCACTCCCATCACACTCCCGTTTGGCTTCCCATCACTCACACTTGAGGCCACTGCGAATCCAGGGCACGCTGTCCCAGTGCATGCGCTCGGACCCCAGCAAAGAGATGGAAAGAGATGTTAGAAATTGAAACCAAAAACCTTTGTTCAATCCTGGACATGTCTTCGGGTTGTAAAACAATGTGTTCAGCCATGTGGGTTGTAACCATTCACTTTGCCTGGACATGTTGCCGAACTGTTACTGTAAAAAAATATAGATATTTATATATAGAGCCTAAAATTAATTGAGAGAAGCCACATAATATCAATCGAATCTGTTGTTGGGAGATGAGTGAACTCCGCGCGATATTATGAAGAACTTCAACCCGGTCTCAAGTCGCCCCTCTCTCTCTGTGAGCCATTCGCCCAGAGTGGTCACAAAGACTTACTGAAGTAAAACTGGATCATCACTGAATGAAGTGCCAGTCTTCAAGAAGCGAAACAAGGCAGGTTGACGAATGCAACGCCAGGCGGACCAGTGTGCCCGGAATCCCAAACCGGGCTGTAATCCAAAGGTGAAATACAGGCATCTTCAAGAAGCGTGAGATGTCACAGAAACACTCTAGGTATCTCTAAGTATTTTCAATTTGTCCATGTATGGCCAATTGCAGTGCCAATTGCTTGATTGAGTTTTCCCTTTCAAGCACCCGCACTGCAAGCGAAATCACTTGCTGGCAAACCTGCTGAATTGTGATCTATGATCAAAAGGCAAATTAGGAAAAGGAATCACGAGCTGCTTCTCAGCTCATGTCCGATAGCGTTCAATGCTAGCGCTGCCATGTCCGGAAACACAACATTCCCAATAGCAGTGAGCCGCTCATTCGACCACTGGCTAGGTTCATGCTCCAGCCAAGTCGAAAGCTCAGGCCGGGCCTCTGTGTGCCAGGCGGTAGTTGGAAGCGTCCGCATCAGCTCCAAATCCATGAGCTTGAAGCCCTGGCGGCGCAAGATAGAAAAGAAAACAATCGACAATATCAATGACAATGGTTTTACGACAATCACTACGAGAAAGGACGCGAAAAGACAATGCCTTGAAGAAGTCAAAGTTTGGATCTTGCGCCAGCATGAAAATTCTTTCACGCCAAGCCTAGAGCCGGGCCCAACAAAGTTTATTTGACTTCACTTTTGTTCCCGCTAGACTTCACATTTGTTTAAGGCTGTCGCAAGGGCGCCGCACATGTAGCCATTCACTTTGGCATAGGTGAGGATCCAGCCGCGCTTGTTCGTTTCCTGCAGGCGAGCTGTGTGGATCTGGTTTGGTGGGGTGTGTAAAAGGGTCCTCGACCATGTATTCCCAGACATCTTGCATGTTGTTACTGGTCAGGTTCCCCACATTCTCTGCAAGCAGAAATTTCCTTCAAGTAGCAACCACAATCATGAGTCACAATCAGGAACGAATAAAACAGTAGCAACCACTGCAACCACCATGAACCACAATCCAAACAGATCCCAGATTCGCGCTGCAATCGTCCACCAACCTCCACATGTGAGTCGCAAGGTTGGTTCGGGAGTCGCTCATGCCTCCACACTTGCCAGCCCTGGATACACCCTGAAGAGAGGTTGAAGAGAAAGGGTCAGGAAGACACACTGACATGCGTTCTACACAGTTACGCTGACTGTGACAATGTGCCTGGCAGGGAAATCCACCCATAATACCATCAGCAGACCCGTACTTGGGTCTCAAAGATGACATGCTGAACTGCTGAATATCATCGAACAGTGGCACGGTCTTGACAAGATTGTCCGCCATGCGTGCAACAGCCACTGACTGGCAAAACTGATTGCACTCGACCTCAAAAAAGATTGTTTCACGAAATCAGGTGAAAGGCGTACTGTAGGCCCCGACCATTGCTATTGGCTCCACAAACCTGGGTTCACGATGGTTCACTCCTACTTCTGTGTTTCCCGAAGTTCAAAACCATTCAAAACCACCCACATTGAACAAGTGGGCCAAAGGTTTTGTTGAATCTATCTACATTGAAGATTCCATAAGTTCCAGGCTGTGATGCTCCAAGGTCAAGTCCCAATATACCAGAAAAGCAAGATACCACGAGGGGCTTCTTTGTTCCCTGACACAGGCTTGGGCTGCAGGTTTCAAGCCACTTGAACTGACTGTTGCCGCAGGTTGCGCCTCATCCTCGCGAAGCCAGCGATACATGCCACTTGGCTTCCTTTTGACAGACCCAGGGGTTGGGTCTGACCAGCCCCGCGGCAAGCCTTCAAAACAAAGAGAAGCAGCCCTGTTGGGAAACATATAGCAAAAACAATTGACCGTTTGTCCATTTGTCATGCGCTTGAGGTTGCCATCAGTTGAGGGATGGACCAGCCATATACTCAGCAGTGTGGCACGCGATGATCTTGCCCGGTTTCTTGTTGCGTTTTTTGCATGCTGAACGATAGTCGGCCCAGTAGTGGATCTGATTGGAACAGTCCTGGAGCAATTGCAAAAGTTGAGCAAATCTGGAAGTCTTCTTCTGGTGTCAGTGTTTGAAGCAGCACTAAGTCAGTCAGTCCCGACACCCCCTCTCGGTCAAACAATTCAGGTTTGCCCGAGTGGTGCTCCCAAAGCAACCTGAAGCGACTATGTTATCCACAACTCTACATTGCAAACGACTGGTTGCCATCCCGCTCTGAGGTGAGGGCGAATCGTTCCAAATGATGTGAGTGTCAGAAACTTAGAGGGCACCGGTGTTGACTTGGACTTTGTCCCTTTGCGAGGCTTCTTTGCAACCTAAGCGCATTGCCGCTTCGATTTAAACAACTCTTGAAAAGGGGTCATGAACGCTTGCGACCCGGTAACAAGCCGAACGCTGAGTTTGGTCCTTTTGGGTTGCGGCATGAACTTGGGGGTCCAAGACGTCAACCGCCCTCGAATCAGCTTGCCGAACTTGGGAAGCCCTGGCGCCTGAGCACGGGTAATGGAATGTAAACTTCAAAGGAAATGATCCTATACGGCATAGTGTATGTATCACATTGCCACTCCATGTTCAATTTCAAATATTGCTACGCTTTACATTGATACATATTGATGCAACATGACTCTTTCTGGGGTTGCAAAGAGTGCTGGGACATTGGCCCTGGTCTTTTTTTCGCTTTGGTGGATCATCTTGACCACTGCCACACCTACTAGCAGAAGGGCAAGGATTGTGTGTTGACAGGGTGTCTGAACTCACTGTTGACAGTGTGTGTTGACTGGGCAACCGGCTCACTCAGGTCATCAACATCAGCCAGGATGGGCATGGTGAGAGCGGCGCAAGACAATATGGAAACAGGGCTGCAGAAACAATCCACAATGTTCAACTAGAACTCACAGTTGGTTCAAAAGAACTGTTCGCATGCAGAAATTGCACAAGAATGCTGGCTTTTCAAGACAAACGCCATGCCCCAATCTTTGTCAAGGTCAATAGTCACTTTCTAACTCCCCTAGAAAGTGCAGGGTGTAATCCTCAACCCGCAATTGGTCGACGGCTTCATTCATGATGATGCACAACTTCTTGATCGCAGTGTCGGGCTTCTCGATGGCATCTACCGAAGAAGCAAAGCGTCTTACCTGGAAAACATTGATCTTACTTTTGGGCCCCCAACTTTGTGTTTTACTCAAAGGTTCGAGCTCTTTGTGCTTTTGAGCCCCCCAACTTCCTTCAGAACAGCAAGTGAAAATTCAACCTCTTGGGCGAAGTTCTTGTTGCGAGCCTGCGGTCGCTCGAAGCTTGCGCCGAAGAGCACTTGGGATGTGGGATGATGGCACGGGAGTTGAAAATAGACTATGAATGATGAAATCTTACTCTAAAGTTCTAAAGCAAATGGCCTCTTCTTGTGAAGATTCAGGAGAATCACCCATGTCAGAACAAGTGCTCTGATCCTGGCGATGCGTTTCAATACCAAAGGCAGGAGCTAGAATGAGCACTGAGCAGAAGATCCATAAGAATCAATTGAGTCCTCCAACAAAGTTCCAGAGCCCGCTCGTTTGTGCTCTGCCAACTGCTTGGTCCTGGGCGACGCGTCAAAACTTGACTTGTGGCTAGCACGACTTTTGCATCAATGGTCTAAGGTTGGGTCAAAGGAGACCAGTCCATGATAGCGTTCTGCACAGGGTCGAAGTAGCACCCCAAAACAAGTAGACATATCATCAACAAAAATCATCCTTGCCTGTCGATGCAAAGCTGAATGACCCCGATGAAGCCCGGCCTAAGTTACAGAACCCAGTAGATACATATCTTAGTAACTTTGTTTGTAGCAATTCCAAAGGGGATCTGGGGACCATGGCCATCCGACGGGGAGATCTTGAACGAGCCAATGATCGAAAGATCGCCTGGGGCATGAAAGCGTCAGAACTCCCCAGTTCAAAATGGTTTGGGTTGGATCCAGGTCTCATGCATCAACGTTGCTCATTGTCACCTCACTGTGGCGCCCAAATGACACAGAATCAATACACATGTCACATGTCAATGTATGCGCACAGGGCCAAAGCCTTAGGTCTTGCCGCAAAGCGAAGAAAAAGCCTGGCCTGGCGTGTTGACTGAGTGGTTGGGAGTGGTAGGCGAAAAAACTGTGAACCCTATCAGTATCATGGCCTCCAGCACTTCGCGTGTACACCCGCCCCCGGCTAGTTCAGAAATGGCAGCCAAGCGAAGCGAGTATGCAAAAGCACCACACTCTGGACCCACACCAAAAAGAACATATATTTCACATATATTGGTTTTGTGTTCTCTTGGCTCATTGAGTTTCACACGGTGAGCTAGCATTGATCCTAAATCAATGACCACATCGAGCCATTGAACCTGCTCAGCAAAACCTTTGCAACTCATCAATGGCCACAAACAATTGAACCTGCTCAGCAAAACCTTTGCAACTCATCGACTCATCAATGGCCACAAACCATTGAACCTGCTGAGCAAAACCTTTGCAACTTAATGCTGCATCCAAAGCCCTGTATGCAAAGCAAAGCCCCAGACAAGTGGAACATCACATCTAGTTGAAAAGAATCGAAAAAGACTTCTAATGGATGAGTGGGGTACGGCAGGCTTCAAGAGACCAGGCCAAAACTTCAAGAATTCTATCTCGAGCGGTGTCGGCAGTCGAAAGAGTATTTCGGGTCGTCGTCAAGAGACGGGAATCCAAAGTGCTGTCAGATTCCCCCCATCACGCTCAGGATCGTGTAGATTTCGAATGGCTGCTGTGCTTCGGCTCCATCACCATAGAGCCGAACTGGGAAGAAGTGACTGATGTCCTAATGATTGGGGGACAGATCGAGGGAGAGGTGGGACTGAATCGAATTCGAGGGATGGGGGAGTTTGCTGGATCACTGTTTTTCTGAAAACCACCACCATCCCCCATCTGGGAAACATCAGGGAAACACTAGTTTTCTGAACGAGAAAAGTTTGCTCTTAGATTTAGCTGCGACCCCTGGTAAGCGGACTTCTGCTTCTAGATCACTGTTGTTCGCCCAGTATTCCTGAAGCTTGCCAGGAGTTCCAGTCAGCAAGTAGTGAAAGACACCAGGCCACTTGTATAGAGCCCCAAATATGTCATGGGGGAGCATGACATGTTGTTTGAGCATCTTGACATTGTCTATCAAGGCACCCTTGGTGGAGGGTCTTGCCTGGGATAAGCAAAAACGACGAAGGCAAAACTGCAATCAGGGAAGGTTGCCATCTACACGACCTGAAAAAAAAAACAAAGGTGAATCTACTCTTATAAGTCAAGGAACTTCGACCTCGAACCTTATACTTTGCACATGGAACCAGGTTTGAAGAAACAGGTGTTGAGCGATCTTTTTACATAACAACAAAAAGAAACATGAAGACTCCTGACTCCATGAAACTCAAAGTATGTAGTCGGCATCACCTGCCTCCAGCTTTGTTTGGAACACCACTTTGCAAATGTCCGCTCCAAGCCCCACCCACCACCACACTCGAAGGCAGTGTACAAATCCAAGACGTCAGGCCTCATGAGTGGTAAGGGAAAACTTTTGAGACTTGAAGCAGTTTCACAATGGCTTGCTGAGGAAAGAACGGAATCAGATCATGATTCAGCTTCGCAATCCTGGACACCTTCCGCTGGACCGCTGAGATGCTGGCCTCGCATGCGCAACTCGGAGTCTCATGAAGGAAGCTACGCCTGACACCTCCCATGCGACCAGTTGAGACGGGCCGCGCATCCGTTTGCAAGTTCTGTGAAGAGCTCATCCACTAAAGAATCAATAGTCTTCTTCTGCTCGTCCACCGCCGCACGCCTACGACCAGGTCTCACCATTTCACCATGGAAACAAACGATCAATAACGATGATGTGTCATTGTCTTTGTTGATGCCATGATGCAATGATTCAATGACTTGCTATTATTTTTCCACCCTTTCAGCACCCATGCTCCCACGGGTGAGAGCAGACCCCATGTAGGCCTCTCAAGCTGGTTGGAAAAGCTCGTACGACCTACTATTCCACGACCTACTGGATTCCAATTTTTAGAATCCTGAATTGCTACCCCACCACTCTTCATCTGGTGGTGGTGCAGTGAGATCCATTTCAGCCCAAGTCTGACCCTCCAAATCCCAAACCCAATCGTCAGCATCTTCGCCGGCTTCGTTTGACTGTTTCTTCTTCTTGTCTTTCTTCTCTGCTTCTTTGGATTTCTTTTTTCTCTTCAGCTTTTTGCTTCGCTTTGAGACCTGAGAAGCGATGATATTGAAAGGTGATTTTAAGACAACGCCAGTGTTGAGGGGCAGGCGGTTGTTCCACGTCTTGATCGTGCCCGCAGCGTTGTCGATGTTCTCCAAGGCAGCCTGGCGCAATCACGATATCATGAACCTGCTGTCAACCCAACATTGGTGACCTGGCCTCAATCTTGGGTTGTTTAACACGGAGCTTCTGCTTCACGGCGTCCAAGTCACCAGTGTGGAAGCATAAGTCCTCCAACCTGTAAGGACGTAGCATTGAGACCCCCCCCTCAAAACATTCTGTAAGCAGGTAAGAGGCACCTCTGGGAAATTTGGCGGAGGTAGGAGTGGTCTTCTTGAAGTTGTTCCTGCATCGCCTAGCGAAATGCATTTGGTTTTCATCTCAACATTAATAAATTGCAGTGTTTGAATTGATGGTGCCTCTTGATGCGGGATTCCCAGCGTTTGGAGATCCATTGCCAGCTCCCTGGCTTTGTTGGATTTGTCCTTCAGCCTTGGCCGGAGCGCCGGGCGATTGGAGGGCGAAGACCAAAATAAAGTTGGGGGTTGGGAGGAAAACCAAAAAGTTAGGTGGCAGCCAATTGAAATACATGCAAGAAACTGTTTGATGTCTTTTTGCAAATCTTTTTTGGCTTTAGCCTTCGCTTCTTCTTCAGGATTCTTGGGCCTTGTGTTCTTATTCTTCTCATCAACACCCTTCCCTGTTTTGAGGATTTTGCCATAACTGTCAACCATGTCAGAGATGGCCTTCTTTCCGGTCTCTGAAGTCACTCGGCCCCCACCCCTGACAGCAGTGCCACCACGTGTGAGCTCACTGCCTGCAACAACAACTTGGTTGAGGGACAATACAATATCCATCAGGCTACAGCGAGCTTAAGTCATCCCCTGCCTTCACACCTGGTTCTTTTGAAGACCTTGTAGATCTTGAACTGCTCATCTGGCGGAAACGCAGGGTTTGTCTTCCCTTTCTGGCCTCAAGCCAAGGACTATCGCAATGAATCGATTGGACTGGCTGGATTGGACTGGCTGCAATGGAGCTTGGGCCGCAGCTCTTCTTGATGTGTTCAACGTACGCCCTTGGCCAGGTGTTTGGGTGGAGACGTTCGGAGTTCGGAGTGAATACGAAGATATACGAAGCGAAAACATTCGATCGATGCATGTCCAAAAACTAATTGAATCCAAGGGTCCGCCCCGCTGGAGTCCCATTGTACATCTCCTCGATTTGGAAAAGGGGGAGCTCATCATAGGTGTCCGTTGTCTTCTGCTCGCTTTCCCTGGGCGATAGCGTGAGACATTTAAAAATCCTCCACAAGGTTCGCATAGATTGTTCATAGTCAAAGTCGAGTTACCGGACATAGTATGCTTCCACCTCGAGGTCGTTCCTAGGCACTTGAAACACCAGGAGAGGTTGAAAGGACTTTCAACCTCTCCTGGCATGCAGGCAATGAGAAAATGAGAATACACACATGAGGGAAATGAAGTAGGTGCATCGAGGGCACATGTCCTCATCACACATGAAGGCCTTGACCATTTCCCAGCGGCTGGATCCACTTGAAGCCTGGTACTTCTCCAGCAACCCTGCCTTCAAGCCACCTCGAGCGACACGTCTACCGAGCGCATTGTACCAAGCGCGCCGTTCTTGTATCGGCACACTCTCTCTTTGCATTGACATGATTTTGTCCTTT